ATCCTAAATAATATCCTAACCTATCCTAAACAATCATCAACAATCCTAACATACCATCACTATAACAATGTATAAATACTTATTGCTTCGCGTTCATCAAAGAGGGGGGGGGGGGGGGGGGGGGGGGGGGTTAGGGGAGAGGGGGGGGGTGCCGGGAAAAGGGGGGGGGAGGGGGGGTCCAGCAGGGGGGGGGGGGGATTTTCGGAGGGGGGGGGGGGCGACCCCCGGGTTCTGGAGGAAAAGGTTTGCAATTTTCCACGGTAAAGCGGCGGTGGGTCACGCTCTCTCACTTATTTGGGGCTCTCTTGGGGTGCATCTTGGGGCGTCTTCGGGGCCTCGTTTGGTGTTTTTTCCGGGTCTCATGGGGGCCTTTTGGAGCTTCTGGGCCCCTTCTTGGAGCTTCTTGGGGTCTCCTGGGGGCCTCTTGGGCCAAAAAGCCAAAATTTCCGGTTCCTCGTCCCCGTCTTGGGCACCGCCTTGGGGCGGTCTTGTGGGCCGTCTTGGGAGCATCCTCGACCAGCTTGGGTGCCTCTTGGGCCGTCTTGGACGCAGTGGACGCCCAGAAGGCGAACACGCCAAAGATATCAGTTCCCCAATAAGAAATCAACGATTTTTGCTTATTGGGCCACTCTCGGGGTGCCCCTTGGGGCGTCTTCGAAACTTCTTTTGGTGTTTGTTCTGGTCTCATGGGGGCCTCTTGGGGCTTCTGGGCCCCTTCTTGGAGCCTCTTGGACTCACCTGGGGGTCTCATGGGCCAAAAGGCGCGAATTTCCGGCTCCTCTCCCCGTCTTGGGCGCCGCCTTGGCCCCCTCGTGGGCCGACTTGGGGCCCTCTTTGGGGCATCCTCGACCGGCTTGGGTGCCTCTTGGGCCGTCTTGGACGCAGTGGACGCCCAAAAGGCAAACACGCCAAAAATATTAGTTTTCCCATAGGCAATCAATGATTTGTGCTTATTGGGCCACTCTCGGGGCGCCTCTTGGGGCGTCTTCGGGGCCTTCGGAGGCCTTCTTGGCGTCATGGGAGTCGTCTTGGAAGGCGTCTGGAGCCATCGCTGCGGCCTCCTGGGGCCTCCCTGCAGTCTCTTGGGGCCCTATTGGCCCGGGTCGCCGATACCCCGAAAACACAACAAGGAAAACGACGCCCTGGCCCCACAGTTGCGGTCGTGGTCGTGGCCCCCGGCCCCCGGACCCGGCCCCCCGTTATGTATACATCTCTCTCTCTCTCTCTCTCTCTCTCTCTCTCTCTATATATATATATATATATATATATGTGCGTGTGCGTCTATGCATGCATGAATATATATATATATATATATATATATATATATATATATATATATATATATATATATATACTATATATATATATATATATATATATATATATATATTATATATATATATATATATAATATTATATATATATACATATATATATACACAACTATAAACATATATGTATATATATATATATATGTTTATCACAAGTGGCTCCACGGCATAGGTCATGCCAGGGGACCATAAGGCAAACCAGGGCCTGCTAAGCATGGTTCCCCGAGTTCTGAAAGCCGCCCACGGTATCGTTTCGGGGTCTCTCAAGCGCCCCCCTGCCGCGCCGGGGGGGCGCGCTCGGGCCGGCAGCAGAAGACACCCGAGAGGCTACAAGTCTCTCCCCAAGACAGCCCATGCTCTAGACTTTGTTCAGTCAGCGGCCGCACGAAGGTCAGTCGGCGTTCGAGCAGCGGCGGGGCGCGCCGGAGCTCAGCGAGACAAGAGGAAAAGGGAACGCGCGAGGCGCACGGCGGCTAGAGCGGCCTGGGGCCGAGGGGCCCACACAGCGGACATGACCCGCGCTAGACGGGCCCCCCCCCGACTGTAGGAGTTTGGCGGCCCTTGTGCCCTGTGGACACGTGGTATGCCCTGGGGAACCTTTCGAATAGGAGGGCGACTGCAGAACTGATTAACCCCAAAGCTGTTCTTCCCAACCATCCTGTGGTGTAGGGTCCTCGTTTTGAAGAGACAGCGCCCCGCGTCTCCTCCTCCTCACTCTGCCTCCTCCTCCTCCTCCTCCTCCCTCTTCCCTGCGTTTCCCCTACCAGTTTCACGCTTTGTGGCCCAATAGGGAGCTCCACCGAGGGCCCGAGTGGCTGCGTTCGCATTCGCCCACCGCACCTATTTCGGCACACTTCGCACACGCTTCGTGGCCCCATAGGGAGCACCACCGGCGGCCCCAGTGGCTTCTTTCGCATGCGCCCGCCGTACCCTTTTTGGGACACCCCGAGTGGCTCGCGCCCACTGCACCGATTTATTTTGGCACGCCCATCACAAGTTTCGTGGTCCCATCAGAAGCTCCAGCGACGGCCCTACTGGCTGCGTTCGCATGCGTCCACCACACCAACTTCGGTACACCCTGCACACACTTCGTGGCCCCATACGGGACCCCACCGACGGCAACAATGGCTGATTTCGCATGCGCCCACCGCACCCGTTTTGGCACACCCCTCACACGTTCCGTGGCCCCATAAGCAACCCCACCGAAGGTTCCAGTGGCTGCGTTCGCATGCGCCCACCGCACCTATACAAGCACACCCTTCGCACGCTTCGTGGCCCCGTAGGCAGCTCCACCGAAGGTTCCAGTGGCTGCGTTCGAATGCGTCCACCGCACTCATTTCGGCACACCCCTCATACGTTTCGTGGAGCTCCACCGACGGCCCCAGTGGCTGCCGTCGCATGCGCCCGCCGCATCCATTTTGGCACACCACTCACACGTTTCGCGGCCCCGTGGGGAGCTCAACCGACGGACCCAGCGGCTGCGTTCGCATGCGCCCGCCACACCAACTTCGGCACACAGCTCACACATTTCGCGGCCCCATAGAGAGCTCAACCGACGGACCCAATGGCTGCGTCCGCATGCGCCTACTGCACCAACGTCGGCACACCCTTCACACGTTTCGTGGCCCCATAGGGAGCACCACCGGCGGCCCCAGTGGCTTCTTTCGCATGCGCCCGCCGCACCCTTTTTGGGACACCCCGAGTGGCTCGCGCCCACTGCACCCATTTATTTTGGCACGCCCATCACATGTTTCGTGGTCCCATCAGAAGCTCCAGCGACGGCCCTACTGGCTGCGTTCGCATGCGCCCACCGCACCAACTTCGGCACACCCTGCACACACTTCGTGGCCCCATACGGGACCCCACCGACGGCAACAATGGCTGATTTCGCATGCGCCCACCGCGCCCGTTTTGGCACACCCCTCACACGCTCCGTGGCCCCATAGGCAACCCCACCGAAGGTTCCAGTGGCAGCGTTCGCATGCGCCCACCGCACCTATACAAGCACACCTTTCACACGCTTCGTGGCCCCGTAGGCAGCTCCACCGAAGGTTCCAGTGGCTGCGTTCGCATGCGTCCGCCGTACTCATTTCGGCACACCCCTCATACGTTTCGTGGAGCTCCACCGACGGCCCCAGTGGCTGCCGTCGCATGCGCCCGCCGCATCCATTTTGGCACACCACTCACACGTTTCGCGGCCCCGTGGGGAGCTCAACCGACGGACCCAGCGGCTGCGTTCGCATGCGCACGCCACACCAACTTCGGCACACAGCTCACACATTTCGCGGCCCCATAGAGAGCTCAACCGACGGACCCAATGGCTGCGTCCGCATGCGCCTACTGCACCAACGTCGGCACACCCTTCACACGTTTCGTGGCCCCATAAAGAGCTCCACCGACGGCCCAAGTCGCTGCACTCGCATGCGCCCGCCGCACCCATGTCGGAACATGCCGCGCACGTTTCGCGGCCCCATACGGAACCCTGCCGGAAGCGTCACTGGCTGCTTTCGCATACGCCCACCGCACCAATTTCAGCACACCCCTCACACGCTTCGGGGCCCCATAGGCAGCCTCGCACGGTTCCAATGGCTGCGCTCGCACGCTCCCGCGGCACTCATTTTGGCATATCCTTCGGCTCGCGGCCCCATATGGGGGCTCCACCGACTGCCCCAATGGCTGCTTTCGCATGCGCCCACCACGGCCATTTTAGCACGCCCTTCGCACGGTTCGCGGGCCCATAGGTGGCTCCACCGACAACCCTTGCTTTCGCATGCGACCACAGCGCCCATGTTGGCACGCGCATCACACGCCTCGTGGCCCCATAGGGAACCGCACTGACGGCCCCGGTGGCTGCGACCGCGTGCGCCCACCGCGCCTATTTCAGTGCACCCCTCACACGTTCCGTGGTCCCATAGGCAGCTCCACTGAAGGTTCCAATGGTTGCGTCCGCATGCGCCCACCGCGCCCATTCTGGCACACTCCTCAAACGCTTCGTGGCCCCATGAGTAGTTCCACCGACTGCCCCGGCGGCTGCGTTCGCACGCGCCTACCGCATTTATTGGAAACGGGAACTTCACACTATTATTTTGAAGGGGCTATTTGCTGAAGGAAACACGTATTTTAGTCAAGTGCCGTTGTCGTCGCCGTCGCCTTCGTCGTCGCCGCAACGCCCGCGCATTCACGTTACTTCCAGCGGCGGGTCTCGCGCGACAGCGCGCGCCACTGCGCTCCCATCTCCGTTTAAAGCAATCGTGGGGAAAGAAGAAACCCCTCTGAACCTATTGCGGCACAGCCCGCGCACGCCCCGTGGCCCCATGATGGGCCCCACCGACGGCCTCACTGGCTGATTTCGCATGCGCGCGCCGCGCAAATTTCGGCACACCCCTCACACGTGTCGTTGCTCTATAGGTAGCTCCTTCGAATGCGGTGTATAAAACGACTTTTTCTTCCCCCACGGGGTCGAACCATGTTATGGGTCACCGTTGATCTCACCGTGCGACCCAGCAAACCTCCTACGCCACCGTGCCGTCGCCAGCTCCAGCAGGGAAGAAGGAAGCGCCACGGCGGTCGCGGCGCCCAGGAGGCAGGGCGCGGCACCACGATTGGCCGCAAAAAGAACTGCGAGCAGCCTTCCAGCCCCGACGCCCTTGCGCCGCGGCTGCCAGGCTGCTAGCGGCGCTGCCGACGCGCGCGCCTCGGCTGGAGAGCAGCCTCGGCGCGGGCGCGCTGCTCAGGCGGCAGCCCGTCCAGCATGTTCCCGATGAGCCCGAACGGGTCGGCACCATTCTGCCGCGCCACCCGTGCGAGGTCCCTGCAGCTCTGCAGGGGCTCGCCGAAGCGCTTCTCATAGCACACTTCGTCGGCGTTAACCACCGTCTCCCCGAAGCTATCCTCGCCGACGTCGTCGTCGAAATCCTTCGGCAACACCTCCGCGGCGATCTCGACCTCGTTCACCAGGATCGGTTTGACGATGCTCTCGAACTCCTTCTGTTTGTGCTCGAAGTTGACCTGCACCGCAGTCTGATCTTCTCATCGTCGCCACTCGCGTTGACCAAGGCGGCCCTCGCAGTCGGCTCCACGTGGGACTGCTCGCCCACCTTCACCAGGGGCGGGTTGACAATGCTCTCAAGCTCCTTCTGCTTGTCCACGGAGCAGGCCTGCTTCGCCGTCTCGATCTTCATCCTGATCGGGTTGACGATGCTCTCGAACTCCTTCTGCTGGTCCTCGGAGCTGGCCTGCACCGCCGTCTCGATCTCCTTGCCACCGTCCTTCGTCACGATCGGTTTGACGATGCTCTCGAACTCCATCTGCTTGTCCTCGGAGCTGGTCTGCACCGCCTTGTCATTCTGGTTGCCACCACCCTTCGCCAGGATCGGTTCCTTGCCATCGGCCTTCATCACGATCGTGTTGACGATGCTCTCGAACTCCTTCTGCATGTCCTCGGAGCTGGTCTTCACCACCTTGTCAATCTGATTGGCGCCATCCTTCACCAGGATCGGTTTGACGATGCTCTCGAACTCCTTCTGCTTTCCTCGAAGTTGCCCTGCATCGTATTCTCGATCTTCTCATCGTCGCCATTCGCACTGACCACCGCGGCCCGCGCGATCGGCTCCACGTGCGCCTGCACGTCCATCTTGTCATCGAAAAACTTGCAGCTCTCCCTTCAGCTGCTTCACCTGCGTCGCCTCGGACTCCGCCGACGTGTCGTCCTCCGCCGCCGTGTCAAAGTCCGAATTCGCTGCGAGCTTGGCCGCCGCCTGCCTGCCAGCCGCCGATGCCTCAGCCTTCTCGGCGAACTTCTTGACATCCGCGGCCAAGTACGCTTTGTCAGGGTGGGCGTCCCAATTCCTGGCCCTCGAAGCCCGCCCCAAACGCTTGGCGAGCTTCTTACCATCCGGGCCGTGGGCGCTGAGCGACAGCTTGGCGCTCCCCACGTTCCGGTCGCCCCCCAACTCCGCGTACACCGTGTCCACGACCTCCTGGACGACTTCGACGGCACCGTGGGGGGAGACTCCCACTGCCGCCTGCGCCGCCCCTCGCACAGCGGCAGACACGAGCGCACAGGCGCGCCGCAACGAGACGCCCTCCTCCGAGCCCGCCTGTGCCAACACTGCCGAGACCCCGCCCAACGCTGCCAGCGCAGCTGGCGGGAGCCGCGCCACATCCAGGGGCGCCATCGCACTCTCGACCGAAGCGAAAGAGCGTGCGGGCCGCGGCCGACTCAAGCAAAAAATGGCTTGAGCCAAGATGGCTACGGGTGTATAAAACGACGGCATTCACAACTGAAGTGGTTGGATCCTTCGCCAGGCTAATTTTCGTCGAATCTACGGGGCATCCTGCGCATTTTTCTTGCTTCGGCGAAAAAATAACAACTGGGGCAAGTCAGTTCTGTAGTCGATCTCCTACTTGAACCTTGAGTCCTTGCGGAGCCTCGGGGCGCCCTGCAGCGCGACGGGGGGGAATGGTGAAAACATGAAGAGACACCAGGACCAACTCATCCGACGAATGAGCGCCCAGATAATGTATATCGAATCGCACGTGTAAAAGGACTGCTGGCTGCTGGGCCACACACGAATATCAATCTGTTATCGGACTACTACCCGATGCGAACCTCGTTCGCCGTCGATTCGGTGACTCGGCCAGTTTGATCGTCGATCCGATCGATCGGGCGGACCTTCGCGAAGGCCTCCGCAGGCACCCCTGGAGGTCCAAAGAGGGCCCAAAACGTAAACATGCATAGAAGCGAGCCCTCGACTCTGGAGGAGAAGCCCGTTTTCCCCAACAGTCGAGCTCTTCCTGGTCCCTTGCCTGCTTCTATCTCCGCCTCCGCCGAAGACGGCGACCACGGCCACCATGACGACGACGGCAAAGACGACGAAGACCACGAAGACGACCACGAAGACGACGAAGACGACCAAGGCGACGAAGGCGACGACACGGGCGACGACGACGAGTGCGAAGACGACGACGACGACGACGGCGCAAGCGACGACGACGACGACGACGACCGACGACGACGACCGACGACGACGACGACGACGAGGACGACCGACGACCGACGACGACGACGAGGACGACCGACGAGGACGACGCAACCGCCGCCGCCGCCAGCCGCGAGCGGAGCGAGCCGAGCTGGCAGCGGGGCGCGCCCGGGCCCACCACGCCAGTGAGGCCGGCGCCTCCCTGGCCTGGGGCCCTGCCGCTCATGGCGTCGCGGATGCGCGACATGAGCACCTCCACGCCGACGGCGCCGCCGCCGCCGTCGCCATCTCCGCTGCCACCGCCGCCGCGGTCGTCGACTTCTTCGCCTACCTCGTCGGCTTCGTCGTCTTCCTCGTCTTCGTCGTCTTCGTCGTCGTCGTCTTCGTCGTCGTAGTCGTCGCCGTCTTCGTCGTCGTCGTCGACGTCGGTGTCGTCGTCATCGTCGTCGTCGTCGCCGTCGTCGTCGCCATCGCCGGTGTCGTCGTCGTCGTCGTCGTCGTCGTCGTCGTCGTCGTCGTCATCGCTGGTGTCGTTTTCGTTGTCGTTCTCGTCGTCGTGGTCATCGTCGTCGCCACCGTCACCGTCGTCGTCGTCGTCGATGTCGATGTCATCGTCGTCGGTGTCGATGTCATCGTCGTCGTCATCGTCGTCGTCGTCATCGTTAGTGCCGTTGTCGTCGTCGTCGTCGTCGTCGCTGTCGTCGTCGTCGTCGTCGTCGTCGTCGTCGTCGTTGGCGTCGTCGTCTATGGTCGCGGGTGCGCGCCGTGAGAGCCGTATCGAACCTCGACTCTCGTCTCTGCATCGCACCGTTCGATCCAGGCTTCTCGGCGGCTGTGGTCGTCCCTGGGCCTCTGGGGGGCGCCCCCCCCCTCCTCCCCTCCTCGTCCTCGTCTTCCTCCTCCTCCTCCTCTTCCTCCTCCTCCTCCGCCTCCTCCGCCTCCTCCGCCTCCTCCGCCTTCTCCTCCTCCTCCTCCTCCTCCTCCTTCTCCTGCTCCTCCTCCCCCATCCTGCTCCTTCTCCCTTGCCCGAGCCCCCCTGCAACACTCCTGAAGCACCTCGATCTCCCCAGAGCCCTCCGACCCCCTGAGGGCGCAGAACCTTTGAAGCCCTCTTGTCATGATCCTCCTTCGCCTCTCCTCCTGCTCCTCCTCCAGCGACGACGACGACTGGCAACGACCACGACGACGATCACGACGATGATGACGACCAGTGGCGGCGGCGACGACCACGACGACGATCACGATGAAAACAACGATCACGACGACGACGACGACACCAGCGATGACGATGACGGCGACACCAACGACGACGACAACGACGACGACGACGACAACGACCGGCGGCGGCGACCGCCGGCGACGAGCAGCGAGGCGGCGGCGATCGGCGGCGCGCCGACGAGGCGTCCCGCACGCCCGAGAGGGAACCGCGGATGAGCTCGGCGGGCGTGGGCGGGGGCGGGCGCGGGCGCTCCCCCTCCTCCCCCTCCTCCTCCTCCTCCTCCTCCTTTTTACCTCCTCCTTTTTACTCGGCCCGAGTTCGCCCTCAACCGTCGATGATCGAAGTGGCAACGTAGACCTTATTGGTCAGAAAAAAATAAATAAACTCCTCACGTCCGTTGTTACGCAATCAGGCAACTAGGCCCCACCATTCGGTGGTGGGTGTCTTAATTGGCCAGCTGGGGGAGAGCAGCCCTTTGGGCCCCCCTGGGCCATGGCAACTTCCTCCTCCTCAGCAGCCCGAGTTGCTGCCAGTTGATACTTAGACGCGATTATTGGGGCCCTTGGGTCTTGGTCCCCGCTGTGTACTGCCCACAGCGGCTGCACCACACGTGCGGGACCCCCGTGGCCAACTGCTTGGCGACCAAGAGGCGGTGGGGGCGGGCAGGGGGGGACGGGGCGACAGGAGGGCGAGGAGGGCAGGGGACAAGGAGGCGCAGGCAGTGGCCTTGGCCCTGGCCAAGGCTTGGAACCCCCTGGCACATCTGGAACATCTCCACCAATTCCCAGTCCACTGGAGCTGGTGGGTATCGTCACTCGCGGCGATTCCAGTCTGGTCCCTGGGGGCCCTGTGGACCTTCTCGAGGGTCTCGAAAAGGTCCCTAGGGCAGGCCCACAGGTTTAAAACAGAAACAAAAACAGAGCACACACCGAACCAAAGCTTAGACAGACACACATAATTATTGACATCTGTCAAGTCTGTACATTCCATTGCAGCCTTTTTTGCGGCCTCATCTGCTAATTCGTTGCCCTCGCTCAGCCAACGACCGTGTTGGCTCTCATCTGCTCGACCTTGCACGTCGATGGTGTAGGCCTTCACCTTGAAAAAATCCCACGAGAAGCCTCCAGCAACCGTCCAAGTGCGAATCATCCTCCAGAATCCTCCAAACTTGTTGGCGGGCCCCGTGCTGAAACCCATGTTGCTGGCTCCCGTGATCAAGGCCGCGCAGTCCGCATACAGGCTGGTCCGCTCGTGCCCTATCAAATGTCCTATACTGGCGAGGAGCCCGAAGTGTTCTGCCATGACTGTTGTTTGTGGGAGCTCTTGGGGCAGTGGGCCCCTGACCCCCCTGATTAGTTCACCCATAGCAGTAACCTCCACCACCGCCCATCCACCCCTAGCAATGTCGTATTCCTGGGGGTGCATCACAGAACCGTCGATGAATAGGTTGCGAGTTCCCTCGTACATGAAGGGGGGGGGGGATGGCTTCAGAATCGGCCCCGAAATAATTGTAATGTGCTTCCTTGGGGGGGGGGGGGGGGGGAGCAGCAATTGTTGGCTTTTCACACCACAGAGAGGCAAACAAGGGGTCATCTGGGCTGGACGCCCTTCCAGCCTCCAACACTACGGGGTCACATTCCGACCTCGCTGGTTCGCCACGCGGGCAATGCCAAACTCGATGGTTGACGGTGTCCAGCGCACCACAGCGTGGGCAGGTTGGTTCCAGCTTGTACCCCCACGTGCGTAGTGTAGCCCCAGTGGTGTACCCCCTGCCTGTAAGAAGAGATCGTCGTCGAAGCGTTCCCCCCCCCCCCCCCCCCCCGAGGAGTTCTGAAACTGCCCCGGGGGCGTGGTCCACAAGCCGTTCTGCGCAATGTCACGGGCCCTGGCATTAGTAGGTCCTCCCCAAGGATATTGATAAGAATTGCCCTGGGCAGGGTGTCTCGCAAATGGTGTAAAACAATCTCTCCTACCATTGTCGGTAGAGTCACTGTCAGAGAAATATTGGCCCCCTTGGTGGTAGTAAATTCAGCAGGACTTGTCCAATCCCACTCCACCGCACTGGTCCATAGCAACATGTCCGCTACAGGGTTGGTGCCGCGTCGCCTCCAGCCACGGGCCCCCTCTGCGTTGAGCTGCTCTTGGCTCGTCCTGAAGGCTTGGTGGAGAGTCTTCGGGGAGAGATTGTCTACTGCCCTCCACTGCGGGTCGGTGGCTGTCCACCATTCCCGAGCATATCTCGTCACAACCTCGCTGGCGTGGACAAGTGGGTCCTTCGCAGGCTGCAGTGCCCATTGGAGGTCCACTTGGGTCCCTGGCACGAAGATTCCCAGAGCCTTGGCCCCCAGGGTCCTCAGGCGCTTGGCATCCCTGGGATAAAGACCCACCACATCACACCCATAAATCATTGAGGGCGTCTGGCCACATCAGAACAGTTTCCCTTTTTCCTTCATCCCAACACACCCCCTGAGGTTGTCGATTTTCGCTGTTCATCGTAGCGCCACCTTCCACATTTTCCGTCGTTGCCTACGATATGTTCTCCCCGTCCCCTCGTCAATGAACAGTCGTTTCGTAGTGCCCACTCCCAAACTGAAATCCACCCCAAGGTTGACTGCCGTGTCTGTCAGAACCCCAGCGTACTTGCCTAGGACCGATCTAGCCTTCTCCAGCACCTCTGCGGAGTTCGACAAGAAACGTAATTTGTGCCACGCCAACGGCAAGCCCAGTCGGGTGGCACATGCATCAACAGCCTGGCTGGCGAGGGTCGCGAGCTGGTTGAGGCAGACCTGAGGTAGGAGGGCTGAGGACTCGAAACCAAGATCATCAACGTGGATGAGAAGGTCCTTGTTGGTGGGTTGCGAAATCTCACTAATAGTCGGTATCATATAACATTTAATCTCATATGTAGCAGTGCTTCTTCCCGCCACACCCCTCCTTGTAGGGTATATCTTGGGCGAGCATGCGTTGTCCAGCATAACTACCCTAGGCCAAGTGTAACTGTTGATGGCCGCACGCAAGGCAAAAAAGGGGAAAGTCGCACAAGCTGGCTTCCTCCCACAGCTGGGCATGCGAAGCA